GAAAATAAACTGTTGGTAAAATGAACTTAGTGAATTAATTGTTGGTAAAAAATAATCTTGTCTGTAAATTAACTGTCAGTGAACTAAGCTGTTGGTGAAGAGATTGTTAGCGAAATGCGCACAACCGAAATTCTACTTATTATGATAAAGATTTAAAGCAACAAGCTATTTTATAAGGCAGAATATTTGACTAAATTAGCAAATCCATAGAACAAATTCAGTTTGCAATCCAAAACAACAGTTTACTATAAGTTTATTATCAAATTTATATCTGTTAAAAGATTTTGATCAGTTGACATCTTTAGTTTAGACCGCCAAATAAGATTTTGAAAGTTTTTTTTTTTAAAACTTACTGTATTTTGAGTTATTCTATATATCTTAAGCTCATAACCCAAAATTTATGCGATTGAATTGATAAATTTATTAGTTCAGTTAATAATTTCTTTATTCAAATAAATATAAACTGAACAAGGTAATAGATGCAAAGATGCTTAATCGTTTTACGCATCAAATTTTAAACCCAATTAATAATTGATTGAATTTATAAAATCAAATTTAAAAAAAAATAATAATAGAAAACATAAATATAAGATTTTTAAAATGCATATTACGACTGTAATTTATTTATTATTATGCAGTTATTACAATTCAATATTTTCAGAAATTCTTCGATAAGATTTATATTTTTTTACTGCAAATTCGGTAGCAGAGGGTGTTAATCCTTTCCTATAGGCATTCATATATCTCCACGCTTTCCTTGCAAACTTTCTAATAGTTATAATATCACAGAACCAAGGGTCTCTGGTACAGTTTTTCTTAATCCTCGGAAAGTATAATCACAGTGGCTTCTTGCATATCTCTTTACCGCACCCCAATAATATTCAATAAAGTTCAATTCCAGATGAAACTTAGGATAAAAAAAAATTTTATGACCTCGTTTGAGCACAATTTCTTCAAGAATGCTTTTCTGTTCTATAAAGTCTGGCTGTCTAGCCAATATTTTCATATTGCAACAAATTTTCTCTTTATCCTTTGAGTATTTAACACATTTACCTCTTAATCGTTTATCCCATATTCCTCTTTCTGTCATTACTGCATCGATTCTTTTTTGTTTTCCTCTTTTTTTTTGATCTGGATAATTTAGCGGAAAGACCATCTCTTGGAATATACCATCAGAAAATCGACCAGGATGTATTATTAGTTGTTTACCACTATAGCCAACATTCATCCTCCTCGCTATTAGGGTATTCTCGGCAAAGGCTCCATGATTGGTGCTGTTATTGAATCCAAAAACAAAAATCGTATCTGGAAGTGCAATTTCTAAAATATCAATTGCTCGTTTAAATTGTTTAGCTAGCAATTCAACTTTCTAATAACCTTTGTAGTTTGCTTCAATTTCTAACAGCTCTGTAACATAATGTTTTGGGATTTCGGGATGGGCTGCATGTTGTTCTTTAGTTAAATGAACTTGATCTAGTGGTTCACACAAAAATTTACTAACATGGATGCCCCTGCCCTGCCCTTTTGGACGTATTTTGTGTTTACCTATTAATAGTTAAAATAGTGAAAGGTTAGTTTGCAAAATAAATCACAAATTATATAAAAATATGAACAACCTTCGGGCCCCCGTCCTGTTTTTTATCATCATTCGCATTTAATATCGTCTTATCATGTGTTATTACACAATGTTGTTTTTGTTCAGGAGAAATATCTTTCTCTACTAACTTAGAGAGATCTTTGTCATCATATTCAACAAGAACAGGCTCCAATTCCTTCATTATTGGCAAAAAAATTGTTTGTCTATATTGCACCACATCCTCTCATTCATGTCTGTCTACATATATATCTTTTTTCCATTCTTTACAATACCAGCCTAGTTTTTTAAGCCATCTCCATGCTGTTTTCTCACATATAGTTTTCTTTCTTTCAATACCTAAGGACAGAAATACTTCATTCTCTACGTAATTTTTCAGAATTTTAGGATTCATACTAAACTTATAACTTCTGAGATATGACATTATCTGTTCAAAGTGTGACTAATGTAAATTACAAGAAATTAACACATGTACAAAATCGTTGTAAAAATATGTATACCTTCATAGATATTCTCTCATCATCAAGAAGGCTTGATACCTTTGTGAATTTACCACGGTTCTCTTTTGGAAGTTTTCACCATTTTGAGCCCATGCGCCAATACATTGTGCTTTATAATCTCCCTATCCCAATGAACTGGCAATCGTCATGCTTGCACTTATTCTAGTCTGACCCTGGTACCTTAATTGTAAATATTGCAATGACGCTTGCAAACGAACCTTTATACCTTTATCTATTTGATTGTCATCCTTTTTTAATGTCCTCTCCAACTTCTCAATTACCAACCTCATTTTCGTTCTCTCATCAAGATCAATTTTTGCAAATAAATCTGCTGTTAATTCTACTTCTATCAATTCTATTTCTGCTGATTCCATCCCTATTAATTCCACTTCAATTGATTCTATCTCTATTGATTCCATAGATGATTCAAAAGTAGAAGTCATTAAAGCAGGAGCTAAGTAAGTAGTGATTGACCAGATATTTTGTGCAGCCTTCTTTAGCTCCACTTTTTTATATTTTTGAGTTCTTTTGGAACTTTTAATGTAAGTTAAAAGCCTACCCGAAGGTTTCCAGATATTTTTATTTTTACTAGCCATTAATAAAACAGCAAAGTAATCAGAAGCTCTTTCATCAATTTCATGATCTGACCAAATATGGTCATCAAGATTTTCA